TTTCTGGGGAACTGGTGTTTCCTTCTCCAGAACAAAGGGGAACCTGGACCCAGCTCCAGCCCTCTGCTCATAGAGAAACCTGTGTCAGCGAGTTTTTTAGTCATGGCCTAAATTTAGGGTGAGGGGAAGTGAGAAATGAATCAGTGTCCCAGGCCTGGGGAAGGAGAGCTCTCGCTGCCCGATGCCAGGCCTTCGAGGGGACCGGAAACACATTGCGAAGGGCTAGCTGTGCTCCCAGGGGCTCGGCAGCCCCTGGCCCCTTTCCTCTGGCTACTCCACTTCTCCTTTTCTACCCCATTGTTTTTCCATCTTAAAGGGACCTGAGCATATGTTAGGATATGGTAACATCTCCCCCTGCTTCTGGTTTCCTAACCTCCACTCTCTTATTGATTTGAGTTCATGGCATTCAATAGACCCAGTCCTGATTTCTCCCAGGGAGAGAGAAAATGTTTCTTGCTGCAGCCAGACAGGAGCCATGAAACCTGAGGAAGGATGTGCTTCCAAGCTGCAGAGAAGAGGGACACCGTAATAGCTGTAGGGTGGGAGAGACGGAGATGGGAGAGGGGGGATCTGGGCCAAAATGCCGGTCCAGCCCCGCGCACGTTTCCTGCAAGGGCAAGGGGACAGCACTGTGAATGCTAAATCCATGTGGTACTGAATCTTTCCAGGGGGAGGAGAAGAGTGAGGGAGGGCTTTTAGAGAGCATCTTAAAGCCTTTCATGGTGAGGCCCCTGTCCCATCGCTCCAAGGCTTTTGTTGACTGGACCCCATCACCAACGTCCTGAAAAAGGGTCAAGTCTACCCAAGTGACAATGGCACCGGAGCCTATTCTGGCAGTGGCCCTTGTGCGCACGCAGGTAGACTAGCTGGACTGTGCTTTTTCTTTCACAGCTGCCTTCTCGCGAGGGTTGCAGTGCTCATGGGGCTGCTTTGCTGTTGTAAGTCTAGTCCGTGCGAAGAGCGCTTTGCTGGCTTTGCGTGCAGAGATAGCTGTCCTGGCAATGCTCTCCCCATGGAGGCATTGCTGACCAGTAAGCAGGCTGCCGCAGGGTTGAGATGAAGGCCTGGGGGATGTGGAAATATTAGATGCATTGTTCCTTTTGAGGGTTGGTTGTTTTTTTTTTTTTTTACCATTGTTGTTGTTGTTTTTTTTTTTTTTCTTGTCATGGAAAGAGGAACCACTTCTCTCCTTTCCCGGTTGGGGAACATCCATCCCAGAATCCTTCATAAGCCACTTTTTCCAGCTCTCTGCAGTACAAGGTTTTTCCTCTCCCTTATACAGAAATGAGTCCGAGAGCAGCGGTTCCCAACCTTTTTTATACTGCCAACTTGCATGGGAGTGGGATGGGGCGTACGGAGCCGGCTGCCTCCCTCCCGGGGCTGCCCCGCTGCCCGACTTTAACCCTGCACATGACTGCCGGTGGTGGAAGCCGCTCGCCCGGGCAGATAGATGGGGGTCTAAGCAGGGTGCTCGTCCTGGTCCTGGTGGTTGGGAACCTCTGTTTTAGAGGAATGTATTAAGGGGGGAGACGTTTTGCTCACATACTAATTTCTTGTCCATCCTTGCCCTCCGTGCCACCTCGCTAGGGGCTGTGGTTTGCTTGGCAGACTCTTCCGACTGGCCGCCAGTCTTGACATCCGCAGCTTTGGCTTGGCTTGGCCAGAGCACCTTGTTCTCATGCGCTTCTGAAAGGAGGCACATGAAAGGGGTGCGAGGGACACCACGTGGCTATCGCCGAGAGGTGTGTGGAGGTGTGTGGTGGAAGGACTCGGTGCCCCTTGCTTGGCGGAGAGCCCGTGGATGTTGTTTCACAGACCCGTGGACTCCAGGCCGGGTTGTTATGATTCATCAGCTGGCTGCAGAGCGATCGCCCAGTGCCTCATGCATCCAGCCCGTCTCTTGTGATGGGGTGACGTTGCTCCTGTCATCCAGCCAAGCGCGGTATGAAGAGTCCAAGTGATGGCTCGCTCACTGCACGTGTGCAATGCAGCAGCAGTGCTGAGTGGCTTCCCTGCCTGGGCAGTGGTAGCACTGGAGCCCACCTGGGCGTGAGATGAGGGGCTAAGGGGCACGGCAGGGCAGCAGATCAGCCCATCCCACCTCCTCGGAAACGTGCAAGGACTTTTCCTTCTTCCTTGGGCTCCTGCTGACATGAGTGAGACCCAGCGCAGGGCTCGAGAACATCTCCCACACCATCCCCACCAGCTTCCTCAGCACTGTCAGTAAGTGCCGGCCATTGGCTTCCCCACACCAGCATTGTGTAACTGTGACCTCCAGTTACAGCATGAGGCCCTTTTCCCTTCTTCCAGCCCAGCCACAACTGTCAGCTGTGCTCTTCCTCAGCTGTGTCCCCCTGGGGCTCCTAACTTGGGGATGGATGTGGGGCCTGTCGGTGCCCTGGGGGGGGACATTCCCAAGCGCGCACCTCCATGCATACACCAAACCCAGAAATAAGCTTTACACTGGGGTGTCCCCCTCCAGCCTTCCAAGGGACGACCCAGCCTGGCCTTGCTGGCGTGTCACCAGGCTCAGAGCTTGTGAGCAGGAATGGGAAAGCCACGGACGCGGGGTGGACACTGGACAGGCTCACGGGTGGTTATGGCTTAAGCCAGTTGCTGGATGTCTTGGGTGGAGATCCTCAGGGGGACCTGGCACGGCTCTGCGGTCCCTGCTCTCGAGTTCCTGGGAACTGTCGGCTTTGCAGGAGGGGCCAGGCTCGTGGGGCAGGGTGTGGGGAGAGTTACAGGTCTCATCAGAGGCTCCTCAATCCAGCTCAGTGTGGAGCTGCCTAAGCTGCCAAGGCTTAAGTGCCAGCGTGACTGCCCTGGCTTGAGAGAGGTGCCTTTTTCCAAGCCAGACGGGGCTCTCCGTGTGCTGGGGACCTTCAGATGTGAGCAGCTGGGTGCCAGGTCAGCCTGGTCTCTCCGCAGAGATTTAACAAAGGCTTGTCTGAGGTGGCTAGGTTTCTCTTGTGGGATCTGGGCTCCAACTTTGCCTTTGCCCTGTTAGAAGCAGGGCTTTGAATCCACCTTTTTCACTGCTGGCAAGTGCTCTCAGGGGTGCGGGTGCCTTCGATGCAAGCTGCTCCACTTTGCATAAGTAACAGGATATTTTATACGTGAGGCCAGAGAGGGAGGCTGACAGGCTCCAGAGCTCAGTGCCAGGGGTTGGAAGCACTGCTGTCCCCAATACCATTCAGTGCCCGGCTCCAGGTCCGGCAGGGCAGCCAGGAAGCCAGGCTTACCATGCTTCAGGGCACTCGTTCGCTGCCAGGGCGTGCTCGCCTTTCCCCACTTTGTGTGCCAACTGCACAGGGCTGGGGCAGGCTCAGAGCATGCCTGCAGGATCGGGTCCTGGCAGCTACTTAGATGGGGAGTGGTTGGATGTGAGCGGGGCCCCGAGCCAGTCCTGCACGGTGGGAAGCCTCCGTGGTCAGGTAGGGGCTGCGGTGTTGGGAAGCAGCTGGGCTGTGGCTTTGCATCAGCCTCCCAGGCAGACCACTCTAACCGCTGGCAGTTGTCAGAAGCAAGGCTGGTGGCATCCGCCAGACAAGAGCCACCTCCGGGATAGTCAGATCTGTACAGACAACCCCCAAGGAAGTTTACTTTGCACGCCAGGCAGCTCCAGTGGCTTCCAGCATCAAGAGCGACCTTCCATGGGCGTCCTTAGAGAAGCGTAGAGCCCCTGCCACGTCCCACACTGCCCAGCCAACATCTCCGTGCGGGCCTGAGGCTTCAGCTGGGACCTCCTTAAGGTGGGCACAAACCTTTGGAAATGCATCCCACCATAGGAGACGGGAAATGCTCCAAGCCAGATCTTAAAATATCTGATTCCCACATGCTTATGGGCATGTCAAGCTTGAGGAGGAGCCCACCAATGATTTGGGCATCCTGCTCCTGCCGGGAGAGGAAAACCCTGTGTGGGGACAGAGGGCTCTGTGGTGAAGGCGAGCCCAGCGAGTGCTGAGAAGAGCCCGGTTCACCAAAGAGTCAGGAAACGGACTCATCAATCCAGACAGCAAGCGCCACGCAAGCCCTTGCAGACCTCCTTCACCCACACCGCGGGCTGTGAGATTTTCAGGAAACTCAGATAAGGACTCAGCTGCTGAAGACCAGGAGCAGCAGTGCTCACAGGCAGTTTGACCCTGTAGCGGCACCCGCATCTCCTCCTACAGGTGAGGGTGCATAGGAAGGAGCTGTTGCTGCCTCTCCCTGAGTCTCACAACTTCAAGCTCACAACCAATTTGGGTGGCCAAGGATGAAGTTTAGAGAAACCCCTGCCTGATGCAACCCCTGATGCTTCCTGGAGGATGCAGCTTGTTACCCAGCCCTCCCAAGGACAGTTTGTCTCTGCTCGCCCAGCGCGGCTTGCACTTCACTGCACAGCAGGTGTCCAAGCATCAATACCAGCATTGACAGGATGAGCCCAGGGCTCGGCCAAGAGCTGTGGCACAGTTCAACCAAGTTTCAGCCCTTAAAAGGACAGAGGGGCTAGGGGTATAAAGTCATTTGGGTACCGACGGATGGAGACATGTAACCTGCTTAGTCATCTTGCTAATTTTAGTAGGTCGCGAGCAACTATTGGAAGTTGCTAGACCTCGGACATCTCGCGTGCTAAACGTGTGTGTCGGTTCTCCCAGGTGCTGAGTTACCTTTCAAGTCAGGAAGGGGTGTCTTAAATTGTCTTGGAGCTTCTGGCATCTCCTGGAGCCTGCCCCTTTCCTGGTGCCCAGCATTGCAAGCACGGGCCCATGGGCCTGTCGACACTGCCATGTGCAGGTATTGCAAACTGCCCTGTGCTGACTGCCTGCACATGGCAGCTGCTTCGACTGAAGTGGTCATCCCTTGCAACAACAGGCTTCTCCCACCCTGACCCCGGTGTGGTCTGAAGCAGGCATGACCCAGATCTCCGCTGTCCCTCTTGCCACCCACTCTGGCACACTGTGTCAAGCTGCCCGGGGCTCAGCCCAGCTCAGTGAAGTTGGCGCGCTCAGACTTACTATGCCAGATGCCAGCTGCCACCAGAAGCACCAGGAGGCCAGGCCCCATGTCCCCTGGGGCTCGCTCAGCACCGATCAGGTCTCCCGCACGCAGGTGTGGAGCTGATGCCCGGCACGGTGGATCCCCTGGAGGGAGAAGGCTGGAGTGGCGAGTGACGCTGACTCCTCTTCAGGGGCTTGCTTGATCTGGGAGAAACTTCTCTTTTTTTTTTTTTTTTCAAAACTGGCCACAAATTAGGAAATCCCTAGTTCTGCGAAGAAGGAGAGTTACACCATGTCATCAAAAGCAGACCCCCTCCGCCCCAGGGAGGGGCACCGGGGCAGAGAACGGCCCTTCGCCACGCCTCGTTTGCAAGGGCCGTCCTCGGCATTGGTCAAGATCTGCTGCCGCCCACCCTCCGCGCTGGGCAGTGTCATGGGTCTGTGATGGCAGCGCGTTCAGCCACGCAGCCACTGAATCCTGGGGAGCAGACTGACGTAAATACTTGACTTACGAAACTTTTCCAAAATACGGACGTGGAAACCAGGCCCCGTCACAGCTCCCTTTAGGCAGGCACGTTGCAGTGCGGATGCCATCCTATGCGCTTGCACTGGCATGGGGGAAGAAACAGATCCCAGGCCCCTTTTGGTCAATCTGGCAATGAATGCAGCTGGCCAAGCTGCGCTGATCTAGCACAGGGAGCTGGAGCATGAAGCGCAGGCGTTTTCACCCTGGGAGAAGTGTCAGGGGAGCCCAGGGAGGGTTGGCTCAGCAAGGCCCAGAGGGAAGCATAGACCTCAGGCGTCTGTTCCTGGAAGTCTGGTTGCTTGGGGGCCAGAGCACCAGGTGAATAACCAGCATCGGAGCGGAGGAGGAAAGGGGTGTGCAATGCTACTTCCATTGACCATTCACAGGACAACGCCCTGGTGATGCCTCGGCTGGTATCTGAGCTGGGCTCATCGAGGCAACCTAATCAGTGACATTCAAGAGAATTGCAAGCATCAGGTGTTACAAAACCAGACTGTCCTACACTGCAGAGGACTGAGGCCCTGGAGATCCCACATCTGGAAAGAAGCCTGGGGCCATTTGACCTGGCCCAGACCTGACCGTACCCATGAGGCTGGTGGCATGGATGCATGCAGAGCGAGGCAGGGCATCAAGTGGGGGACCTGCCTGAAGAGCGGCTGCCTCCCTTCCCTCTGGAGAGCATTTTTCAGCACTCAGGCAAAGATTTGCCATTATGGCTTGCCTTACTCTAGCCTCCAGGAGCTCCCATCCTGGCCAGCGTGCCAGGCGCTGTACAAATGCCCACTCACAGAGGGGCCCTACCCCAAAGCAGAGTCCGAGTGAAAGGCAGCAGGATGCAGACAGGCAGCAGAGCCAGCAGCAAGAGCAGGGCATGAGGGACTTCAGATTATTGCTGTTATGTGAGAGCATTGTGGTGAAACAGGGGCTTTTAGGAGGAATTTGGAAGAGGCGGCGAAGGGCTATATCTGTGGGTGCGGCACCTCTGGGTGGCCGGGTCTGGCCCCGGAGCCTTTGCTACCCAAGGGACTCGCCCCTCAGGGTGCGAGAAGCTTCAGACTCTGAACCCAAAAACCTGGGGGCCATAGCCCAGCCGAGGGTCTCCTCCAGACTTGGGGCTCACTGCTCCTCGGCCCTCTTCTCTTCCCCTTTCTGTGAGAGGAGGCAGCCCCCAGCTCCTCCAGGCTCCAGCCCCAGGTGGACACGGACACCGGGAGAGAGGCCTGAGTGTCAACGGTGCCCTTCCTGGGGGCCAGGTGATGGGGCGAGTGACGGACAGGACGGTGGTGTTTGCAAGGGTCAAGGAGGGAGATGGGGGAGATTCAGAGCGCTGCCTTGGCCATGCTGGGGTCTGGCAGGTGCTGAGAGATCCCCCAGAAGCAGACAGACGCAGGCGGAGATTTTAGCCTGGGCAGGAGGAGGCAGGTCTGGAGCCGAGTGGGGTAATTAGGTGAGACAGGCCGCAGGAGACGCCAGGCTGTAGCTTCTTCCCTTCTTTCAAGCCAAAGGGGCTTTTCAAAGGAAGTTTACTTCTCCCCTTCTCTTCCTTTTTCCAGGAACAAAAGTCCCAGTACGGAGAGCCCTGACTCACCCGAATGAAGCGCACGTTGGCAGGGAAAGGAAACAATCTCTCAGCTGTTCCTGCTCCCCTCCCGAACGGCCCCTCACAAAACATACCACATGTTGGCAAGTCACCGGCTGCCGGGGAGCCGGCAGATAACGTACTGCGGCCACGGAAAAATAGCACTGCCGTGGGACTGGAGTGTCTGTGGACCTGGGATAGTTGGGACCAGCTTATGTGGGGGGGTGTACATGGCCTAGGGGGTTAACATGTATGACCATGCACTTACCTGTGACCTGCAACAGCCTGCTAGTTGCTGGCTCCAGCATCCTTGTCTAATCCAGCCCCCGCTTTCTCCCTACCCCAAATACCCTCCTGTTGCCACCTCTTGGTCAGCTCGAGACCAGGCCATGTGCATTTACCAAGGCCGCACGTTGCTGATGACATGAGTTCGGCGCATGCTGCTGCCTGCCTGCACCGTGGCACTGCTGCAGGGAGGAGGCTACTCTGATCCTCACATTGCCCTGAGCCCACAGGCAAAGCTGCTGGGAGAACAACCATCCCTCCGTGAGTATGGGGGCTTGATTTTTCAGAGGTGCTGAACACCTGCAGGGGAGCAGGGGAGGTGAGTGGGAAGGTGTGTGCTTTGGGGTTTGGATGCGTGAGAGGGGAGCAGCGAGACTAAGGGAGGGACGGCAGCTCCCAGGAGAGAGCTGCCCGGAGACTCGGAGTGTTTGAAAGGGAACATCTTCGTGGGGACAACGCTGCCCGTGAGGCATCCCAGAGGCCGACCCTTGTCCTCTTGCCCTGTGCAGACTTCTGGGGTTGCAGGTAGGATTCAGTGCATGGAGCTCTGGTGCCTTTTCCTGGCTGGAGATGGCCTGGGGAAGGGCTGGCAAGTGGCAGAAAGAAGCATGTTCTGCACTGAGCCCGGAGAAAACCTATACAGCAAACCTGCTGAAGACGAGCTGCTCCCCACATAGTGCACTGACAAAGGTGGCAACGGTGGTGGCAGCCCTGAGCCAGAGAGTTCGGGGCTCCAGCTGAAGTGGTTGGAGCCTCAGCAGCTCATCTCCCTGCCTGGTTTCATCCTGTCGAGAGCGGAGAGATGAAGTCAGGCTGTTAGTGCTGCACGTAGCATCGTCTCCACTAGTGCGGCTGCAGAGTCCATAAGACTTTCTGACGTGCTGGCATCCAGTGAGCACGGGCAGAGGGGTTTGTGCCAGGGAGGCCAGGGTTTGTGCTGCGTTGCACAGCACAGACTAGGCTAACAGGGCTCCAGTGAGGTCAGAGATGAGGAACCTAGGGCTACCCAAGAGGTTAGGTCATAGCAAAGGCAGGATTCACACTCCTCCTGGGGCCAGGAGTTGCAGTGGGACTTGGCTCCAAGGAAGGTTTTGGACCGCTGGCAGAGCAAGCTGCAGCATGCTCCTGCCCGCCTCGCCGGCCGTGGCTATTGCCATTAGAAGGTAGTAAAGGGGACGTGCTTTTCCTGAGGGAATGGGGCTCAGTGGTGCTGTCTTCATGAGAAGGGGCCCTGGGGTTGGGGCTTGCTGTGGACGCGTGTGGTTGAGCGTAGCGTCTTGCGGCGACACGACTGTCAGCCCCCGGCTCAGTCGGGCCCTTTCCCCTTCCGGGTGTGGAAGCTTCTCCGCTCCTGTTGGGCTGTGCCCACGCTGGGGTGGATCAGGCTGACCCCTTGCTACCACCACTCGGGCCTGGTGGAAAGTGTGGTGGTCCAGTCAGGGGCCTTCTTGGAGCAGCCGCTTGGCTGCAAGATCTGGAGAAGTCCTGGATTTGACTCTCCCTCTGCTCCTCTTCTGCCTTTTGTCCTGCTGCTTCTCCCCAAATTGCCGCCCGATGGAGACTTTGCTTCTGGCACCGCTGGGTGGATTGGGGCTTCTCTGCGGAGGCCACGGGGGCTCCCACCAATGCAAACTCCAGAAGGGATCTCGAGTCTGGGACAAGAAGACCTCCATGGTGGCATGGTCCAGCCATTCCCTGGTGGCCCATGAGCCACCGTCCATCACCGGCTCCTTTCAGGCTGTGGCTGGGGCTCAGGGAAGTGGATGGCTTAGTGCAGGGCCAGTGGACATGGTGCTTGTGGCTAAGTGATTGCAATGGGTCTCACCTTCATGTGTAGCCTGTACATCATCTCCAACCTCTCTAATAACACCAGTGATCTAAGCAATGACCAAGTACCCTGTGGGAACGAACTGGATCCCAAAAAGTAGTTTCCCCTCCCCTCCCTGCCTGCCATCTCCCTTCCCTGGGAGAGGCACGACTGTCTTTAGGGGTGGGGGTAGGGGGGCTTTTTCGCTTGTTGATTCAGCTCCTGCTGACTCAGTTGGTGGAGGAGAGAGGCTGGGCTGCCTGTGCCAGCTCAGCCTGCCCTGTGAATCAGCGTGAACCGGGTGCCTTTCCCTTGGGAAGAGCATCCTAGTCAGAAAGCACCAGCCTCGGTTTCAGCAGATGAAACTCTCCAGGGTGGAGACAGGGCCGGCCAGACTAGGTGCCTGGGGCAGGAGGTTTTCTGTGCTGGTGTCTGGACCTGGGGCAATAGCTATAGTGGGATCCCTGCGGGGCACCAGTGCAACACTCATGCAGGCAGGCACAGCCAGGCTTTGCAAGGCAGATTTACAAACTGTTGGTGGAAAGACAAGACACTTGCTGCCACTTTCTCTCTGCATGGGGCGGTTCGACATCACAGGATGGACAGAGGTGCACAGTCCCATCGGAGCCTGGGGAGCCTTGTTCTCCATGCTTCAGCTCCCCAGGGGCAGAGGGGATATGGGGCAGCAGGTGTGGTAGGAGATGGGACCTGGCATGGGGGTGGGGTTAGGGTGTAGGGATTTATTGGTGTCCCTGTAAAGAGTGTGTGGGGAGGGGGTTGCAAACTATTTGGAGGGGCCCTGCACAAGTCCTAAGTTAGGGGAGAAGGGGAAGGGGAGCCCAGGTTGGAGGGGAGCCATGGGGAAGATGGATCTCTCCCCACAGATCTGTCGGTGATGTGGTTTCTGGCTGCCAGACAGGCCACCCTGCTGGACAGTGGACGCTGCCCCGAGCTCGGCGTTCGGGGCTGGCTGTGCAGGATGGGGGACCCCCTGGACTCTTCCCTCCCCAGGGATCGTTAGCAGGGAGCTGCTGAATTGTTCATCTCCAGCTCCATCTACTCACTTGCCTCCTCCGGTGCAGCGATGACTCCCAGCCTGTTCACTGTGCCCACGGGACCCGCTCCCGCACTGGGGCTGTGGGTTCAGTGCCTGGCTACGAGGCCGTCGCTCTCTTGCTCTCCGCTTGGTACCCCGGCTTAGCCTTGCCTAAGCCAGCGGCTATACGCAACGCATTAACATTCTTCTCTCTCACCCTCGCTGCGGCTAATCTTCGTTCCCAATAAAACCCAAATGCAACCAGATGAGAGATTACGGGGGGGGGGACCCAGCAAAAAACATCCAGGAATGGCGAGTGGACAAAGGATGAAAAAGAAAAACAAAACAAAACCTTTTAATTTTAAAAAAAACTTTTCTTTAAAAACATGTGTGTAAAGTTTACAGCATAAAAATAATATCTCACGGGTATAAATGCGATGTAATAAGAGTCCTACTAACACGCTTGTAAACATCTAGGAGGACATTAGCTCTTTGGTACCGTAGTGTGATCTCAGTTTGGCTTCTCCCCCCCACCCCCCATGGCTTAAAACAGGCTAACGACAAAGACGAGCGCAGGAGATGTTTCCATCCAGGCATGAACGTGACGGAGGAAGAGCCCAGGACAGGCGCATGTTGCTGGGACAGGAGGCACCAGGTAAAGTGTCATCTGATTAGGTAGAAGTCCTGACTCTCCCCCACCCTCCCAATCCCGCAGCCCCCAGGTCCGCTGTCGTCCCAGCTGCTGCAGTGCCACCCAGGTGAGTGACTTCAGGCCGTGGCAGCAGTCTGGGAGGCAGCCCGAGGTCCTGGTAGGCTTCACCTAGGCAGGGCCAGGATGGCAGGGCCTGCAGGTGCCCAGGAGCTGCCGCTCGGCTGCTCTCTGAACGGACGTGCCATCGCTGAGCCGTGCTGCTGTGCTTGGCCCTGCCAGCTCTTGGGGGCTGCTCTGGCTGGCGGCCACGGTTCCTTGCACCGTGGCGTGTGTGGGCACTCTGGTCACCGATACCATGACCCCAAAGCTGGGCTTGGTGGCAGCACCGAGGTGTGATGTGTGAATGAGGAGTGAACCCTGCGGAGGGGCACTTGCCTTTGGTAAAGCTCTCCCAAAAGATGCAGTGAGGAGACCCCCTGCCTGCCTCCATCCAGGGTCATGCACTGGCATCTAACGTGGTGCCCCCGGTGTATCTGTCCCACCCTATTACCAAATCTCTTGGATGTTTCTGTCCACCTGGCCCTGAACCTTTCAGTTGTTGGGCCTGCACAAGGGGGCATTTCCCCACTTTGGCCAACTTTCTACTGGCTGCTCTTTGTCGGTGCCTGGCTAACTCCTGCCACTGGGAAGCCCCCTCCAGCAGGGTCCCTGGGGCTGGGAACCGAGGCAGCTCATTGCAAGTCAAGTCCGCCATGTTCTGACTTTCACGACACAGCGCCAAACACTGGACACGACTCTTCTGGCTTAAACAACACATCCGAGGAGCAGAAGACAAGAGGACTACAAACCGCGTGCACGTCAGCATGAGAAGCGTCTTAAACATGGAAAGAAACACTGCAGCGTGACAGGCATCCCCCGGATATGCATAGCACAAGGAATAGTGGCTGGCAGGAAGAACGGGCTTATACTGGTGCTGATAATGTCGGACGAGCTGCGGAGTAACATACAGTTAAAGAGAGACGGTAGAGATGGGCCCAAACCGCAGAACTGGATTCCCTTTGTGGAAGCTGGAAAGATTTGCGGGGCTGGGATGTGGGGTTCAGTTTGGGCTCATCTCTACACACACGAAAACCTCACAATGAAACAAAACCAACCACATAAACGAAACCGTAGAGGCATTGGTTCCCTTCTGAATAGGATCAGACGCATCCCAGTTACAATTGATGGCAATGGAAACATGATGGTATTTTGCCCCCCGTGGTCTGATTTCCCGGGGGCTGGAATGTCAGAAGTAGGGAGGGGGGGAGAGAGAGGCAGTGAACCCTAAATCCAGGCTGGTTTGGGCCACTGAATCTGTTCTGTGGGCACCTGGGGGCCTTTCCCCAGAGCTGTTTCCAATGTGAATTGAGCCAAGTGGAGTCCTCTCTTTGGAAAAAGGGGTTCCCTCCTTGGGGTTCCCGGGGGCCACCCAGCTGGTGTCTTACCTTGTGTGGCGCTCACCTGGCCAGCGAGCTCTACACTGATCTGAAAGGCTTCCTACTGCAGCAGCAAGGCAGCAATCTCACCGCACACCCTGGGCAGGATGTGAAACTAAGTTCTGCGGCTGAGCGGAAAGCAGATCGGACACTTCGCATCGAGCCCAGACAGGGCCACAAAGCACAGACTGGCACCGGGTTCCTCTTGCCTGTGACACCCACCCCCAGCGCCAGAAGGTCCGATGCGTGCAGTGCAACGTTGCACAGAGATGCAGCAGCTAATGGGGTATTTCAAGCAAAGACCTGAAAATACCATGGAGTGCAATAATGGGCTTGGCAGCAACTATTTTAATAACTCTAGCAACTTAAGCGTGATGCCAGTTGGTTGGAGAACATCTAAGGTAGCATCTGTTTGAAGGTGGAGGGTGGGGGGAAGTAATCAGAGCAACAGGAGGCCTGTTAAGCTGACCTCAGCAACAGGCCAGGTGTCAGAGGAGCTTTGAAGGAAAGAATAAAGACAATGAGGGAAAAGTTGGGGGGAAAAAAAAAAAGGGAGAAAATACAACCTGGGTTTGCTGGAGCTAAACCAGACCAGTCTGATCTCTTTCTTTGCTAAGCTATCTAATTTGTGATATGCAGTAGATTGCATCTCTCAGGACACCAGAAAAGCATCCGATATGGTGACATGTGGGAAATGATTAGTGAAGCTGAACATTAATATGAGATGTTGTAAAGTGAGCAAGGGACTGGCTAAAGGAGACATGGCGACTGGTTACCCAGGGAAGCTTCAGGCAAGAGGGGAGTTACTAGAGGAAGTTGTTAAGCATCAGCCTTGGGGCCGATCTTATTTCATTGAGGACTTTGGCACAAAATGTAGGAGAAAGGGAAAGAAAACGGTTGATAAAACCGAATTTGGGAACATTGTCAATCCAGTGGGAGAGCAGAAGGCCCCGGGGACTGGAGTAACCAGAATGGAGGGCGTTTAAAAGTGCAAAGGGCAAGATCGTGCACTTGAGGGATAATGGCAAGAATTTCTGCTATGTGCTGACAATCCCTCGGCTCCAGCAGCAGCAGAGGAGAAAGGGCTGGTTGCGTTTGTGGATCGCGGGTTGTCTCTGAGCCTCCCCTGCGATGCAGCTGTGGAAAAAGCCAGCGCAGTGCCAGGATCGATCACTCAAGGTATTTTCCGTAGAGAGAGGGAAGTATGAAAGTCATTGTGCAAGATAATGGTAGGATGCCATCTGGGATCCTGGGCACCGTGCTGGCCACCCACATTCGAGAAAGATGAAGTGAAACGGGAACAGGTGCAGAGAAAGGCGATGAGGAAGAGGAGGGGAATGGAGAGCCTGGCTTATGAGAGGAACAGAGCCGGCTGGACTGATCGGCTTAGCAAAGGAGAGGGGCTTGGATTACTCTCCGAAAGTACGGCAGGAAAGGAGACAGCAGGGAGGGAAGAAAGCGTTTCAAGCTGAAGGACAACGTTGGCAGCAGAACAAAGGGGGATCCCACTGGCCATGCATACCTATAGTCTGCAGGAAGAAGTAATCCAAGAATAAATCAATCAGAGTGGTGGCAAGAGGCCTAACTTTTTTTTAAAGACGAGGCCTGATCAGTCATTTGCAGACATCACAGAGAAATGGGGCTGGAAGGGCCCTCCAAAGCTCGTCTAGTCTAACCCCCTGCCCGAGGCAGGATCCGCCCTGTCCAAACCCTCCGAGACACATCCAGCATCTAAGCTCACAGTGGGAACAGGATTGTACGATACCGTGTTTGCAACAGCAGGGATGGGCTTTACCCCGGGAAGTCCCTTCTAGAGCTATGAACCCATGTTCAACTGCAAGGAGTAAGAAGAGGCACCGTGAAGAGAGAAACCAGCCTGGCAGGTAAAGCCTGTGATCATGAGGGACCCCCCGAGCCCACCCGGGTGGAGCATATGTGCCACTCGCAGTGTGGGAGTGATACCCCGTGGGCTGACCTTGTGGTGGCATGTATCCACCCGAGCCTCCACCACGTAAAGGTAAAAGGGTCTCACCCCACGCAGCTGCGGTGTTATTGCCTCCCTGTGGTCTGGGGACTGTTCATGGCACATGGAGCTTACTAGAGGACTGGTACGTGGGGAAAAAATGTTTGCTCTTCACGGGGCGGGTGCTCTGGATGCTGGGAAGGCTGACTTTTCCGGCTGGAAAAGACGAACTGAACTGACCGTGGTTATTATCAGCAGCAGTCTGCTGGCTACCAATAACAACGTCTGCATTTTACTGGCAAGGCAAACCTCACGGGACATGCCCGTTCCCCTCGGTCTAGCTTTAGCGAGGCCGCTATGAACAAAGGGTCACCCCAATGTCTGACCGTCTCTCTCCGGAGGGACGCAGCCGCTGAGTGCGGCTGGGGAGGGGAAGGTGAAAGAGGTGATGGAGGCCCAGGGCAGGGAGCGAAAGGCTCGAGTCTACTCAGTGCTCTCGAAGGAGGAAAACTGCGGGCTCCCCAGTTGAAGCGATTCCCTTTGCTACCGTGGCTGGGCTCCTTCTTGCCCACCCTGGCAGGGACTTCACACTGTTTGAAATGCTGGGTGTGAAGCAGGAGGGAGGGTCTCCACGTGGCATGGCACTCAAGGGACTTCACAGCCTCTCTTTCTCTCTCTCTCTTTTATGTGAGATGTCTCTGAGCCTCCTAGGCTGGTGTGCTCGCACCCTGGCCACTCAGCATGGCTTTGCCTAGGGAAAGAGGGTCAGTTGACACCCCCTGTCCTGAGGGAAAGGGGAACTCGGACAAGCCCCTGAATCTACCTGGTCCCTGGTCCCCACAGGCAACACACAGTCGGCATGGGAGACCTTCCCAGCCAGGTTCAGTGGCACATCACGTTGAACAGGTAGCCATTCCCTCCTTATACTGGCCCCGGATGGTGAATGAAGAGGTCTGGCTTGTTCCCTTGAAGCGAGTGATTGGGGTTAGTGTTCACACAGGAGAAGGCGGCTCTGAGTGGCTCCAGGTCCCGGCTTGCCCTTGGGTGCCCAGGGTGCAGCTCTGGGCAGAAGGAGGGTTCAATCCAGGCCAGCCCCTTGGGATGCCTGCAGCAACGTGGCCCAGCACCACGGGTACCTGTACCACAGCGCTTGCGGTGCTGCCCCGTCTGAAACACCCCAGAGGGGGGGAGCGTGCCGGCTGGCGACTCACCGTCTCTGAGGCCCACCGCAGGCCTCTTTTCGGCAGTCGCTATACCTTGGTTGTGCTTGAGGGAGAATCCCTTTTCTCGTAATGGCTGGAGCGTGGCCTTTTGGCTTCTCTTCGCCTCACCAGCGAGCTACGAGAGGGGGCTGTCTCCTGGCAGCTCTGCTGTGACCACCGCGTGGCTGCTACATGTACGTTGAGACGAGCTGGGATTCGGCGCCGTGCATTTGAGCAGGGCGGGGTAGAGGCTGGGATATACGGTCAAGCAGAGGGAAAGGCAGCGTCTCCCACAGAGACAGCATCTCCCTTCGCGGCGAGAAGAGGTTTTTCTGCGAGCAGATGCCTCCGCTCTTCCACGGCTGGGTCGCTGGGATGGTGCGTAGCAATGGGACGGGGTGGGGGCTGGCGCATGGTCCTTTGGCGCAGAAAGGGAATGCGTCCATCTTTTCCCAGGTAGTGCTGGAAGGTGGGATGAAAAGAGGAGCACTGAGGCACGGGGGTCCCCCGATGCGTGGCATGGCTCTGCCATGTTGGGTCGGCCCCCGGCCCATCTCCCTGGTGGGTGAGGTGCAGCGTCAGCCCAGAGCCTGCTACAGAAAGCTCTCCTCCGCGTCGTGACGCCCAGGGCTCGGCTCCTGGCAGCCTGGCTTCAGCTCCGGTTCCGGGTCTGGTTCCTCGTCCTGCGCTGGGATCAGCGGGCTGTCGCAGGATATCGTCGATGAGGTGTTTGCCTCGTTCAGCATAGAGCTGAAGGGAGGGGAGAGGAAGGAGCAGAGGAATAAATGCTCTGGCTGAAGTTTCTCATGGCCAGAGAGGGACCCACGTGGCTCTCCCATGCCATGATAACAGGGATGTGTCGCCTGCCAGCGTGAGGATGCTGAATGCCAGCTGGCAGCCTGGGTGGGCAGGACAGGGGGCAGGCAGTGGGTAAATCTAAGGATCCTGGAGGGACAGGGAGAAGATCCCAGCTTTGCCTTCCCTGCTCATATCATAGCCCACCCTTTCCGCCCCGGTGCTTGCAGAAAGGTCAGAGGCCAGAGGTGAGGGAGGTCAAGGTAGAGACAAGCACGAGGAACCTCGGTTGCCTACCTGGCCCGGCTGACAGAAGCTTCCTGGGGGAGATCGTCCGCTCCGTCGGGCTTGGGGTCGGGCAGGGGGATGATGTAGTCGTTGTCCCCTCCGTTCTGTTGCACGGCCGCGTAGAGGATGCTGCTGGCGCTGGAGCTGTGCTGGGTGCCGTTCACCCTGGGGATCCTGGGCTGAGTGCGGATGACGGCAGGGTGGTCGCTCCTCAGGAACTCCTCATCGACCTGCTGGTACCTCTGTGCCCGTGGGGCAAGTGGCAAAGAAACACGGCGTGAGGCCAGCTGGGACCCTGTCAGCTCTCCCTGCTCCCTTGGGCATCTAAAGGGGCACTCCAGAGCCTGTGCAAGAGGCATATCAAGCACCTAAAAGCTGCCAGTGGTTGAAGACATGGAAGAGAGTGGCTTGAGTCTGGGGAAGAGCCAGGGACAGCTCAGGGCTGGGCGTGAGCCACGAGACGATGCTTGCGTTTGGGTTTTTTCATACATCCCAAATGTTGCCGCCACCCAGGACAAACTGGGCAATGTTGCTGGACAGGCTTTTTTTTGCTGGCCTCTACCATAGACCATCCCAAAGGGAGCAGGTCAGTCATATGCCTTTAAATGCACCAACTGAGCCTGATGTCAGATCAGGCGGCCTGATCTGCGGATTAATGCGGTTGACCCAACGGGCTTGATAAAGGGTGGGAGCGATACACCCAGACCCCTTCATCTGTCCCCAGCGTGCAGGCACCCGGGGGCTCTGGGGACGTACCTTCTTGTAGCCGTCCATCAGCAGGTTCCCCATCAGCACCACCAGCTGCGAGAAGGAAGGTCTGATCTCAAACTTCTCTTCCCAGCATTTCTGCATGATATCGTAGCTGAGGAGACAGAGGTGGAGGGGAAAGCTCAGTGCAAGGAGTTGGAGGGTGGGAACAGCGAGGTGGGGAGGCACCTGAAGATGCAAGGCCAGTGGGGATGCGGGTGGGTAGCACTTACATCTCGTCGGAGGCATGCGTGGGCTTGGACATGCGATAGCCCCGCTTGATGGCGTTGTAAAACTGCTCGTTCATGGGCAGCTCAGGGTAGGGCGTCCCACCTTGGAGCAGAAAAGAGAGCAGGAAATCAGCCTAAGGGACCCGTGGGGGCCAAGAGGGGCTTTAGGACTGGGGTCTTTCTCCTGGCGTGGGTGAGAAATGGAGAGAAGACGCTCCTGGTTTGGTGGTGCCTCGCCAAAGGGCTGTGCTCGGCGGAGGGGAGGGAGATTCAGGACACCTACCCAGCGTGAATATCTCCCAGAGGAGGATCCCGAAAGACCACACGTCACTCAGGGTCGTGTACAGGTTGTTGAAGATGCTTTCAGGCGCCATCCACTTCAAAGGCAAGAAAGTCTGTGGGGAAAACACAAAGCGGGAATGAGGCAATGAGGGCTAATGTCTGTGCCGGCGGGAGGGGGATGCAGACTCCAGCCCCTCACTGCACTTGTGTGGTATGGACACCCATCTGTTAGGCTCGGGACAGGCCAGGGCCTGATGGGAGGTGGATACAGCATCTCCTGTGCTACTACAGCCTGGGGGCCTCGAGACCCCCTGGCAGAGGCCCGGCTGAGGGCTCTGCCGCATGCTTTGGACATGGATCCACTTGCGCAAGGGATATAAAAAATAATCCCCAGGAAACGTTGCAAGGGAGCTGAGTTTCGTTTCCTGTTTTATCAGGAAAGGCAGCCACGCTGAAGCTACATTGGAAAGCCCCATGCAGGAGGGACCTTGCTCCCTGCCCAGGCTCTGACGGGCCGGCCTCTTGGCTAGCAGGGGCCGATCCTTGCTTTCCAGCAATGAGATCTGGTTATTTAGTTCCCGTTTTCACATACCAGGTTGTGATTTCTCAGGGGGAGAAGGGAAGGAGGGAGACCGAACCTGCCTTCCTCCTTCACCTATTTCCCCAGGCCAGGGGAGCGCTACTGCAGCCGGCTGGCATCCAGGACACGAGGCTCTGCCTGGGCCTGCTGGGTGACTGTGGGCAAGTGACTTCCCCTCCCTCTGCCTCAGTTTCCCCAACACCAAAATGCAGCTGATGACAGTCTTCCCTTTGGAAAGCGTGCTGAGATGGATAGATGGGCGTGCGAGTGCGCGCTAAGAGCCGGGGCTTCCTGCTCTCCTCCCGCGGTGCCCCCAAGCCGCGGCTCATGCATGTTAAGCCAAGAGAAGATGGAGAGGACATTCGTTCGCATCATGGGAACTTTTCCCTGCTTGCAAGCCCAGGTCTCCCGTCTGGAGAGCCCTAGTGCTGGGTGCAGAAGCGTGGGAGACCGGCGACTCGAAGCCGCTCGCTGCAACGGGGGATGGCGTGCGAGGTGCTAGAGCACTCCTGGGGCCCGAGCTGGAAGGGGCCGTGGTAGCGTGATGTCACTACTGCAGTTGCAGTTCCCTAACTGCTTGCATGTGAGCCTAGAAAGTGAGAGCATGTCATTCCACGAGGCCGTGCAAAGCCACAGGCCAGGCATCATGGGGAACGATGAGCCTTGCTGCTGCCAGTGGGACAATGGCCTACGTGTGCTCTCAGGCAGGGCTTATCCCAGGCTAGTTCTGCCCCACACAGGGCTAGTAGCCCAGTAAAGACACCTCACCTGGGTGAGCAGGACAGGGAGGAAGGGCATCGCGGAGACACCCGGCTCCCAGCTACTCACGTTGCCCTTGGAAATGTAGTTGGAGTCTCGCACAATGTCCCGGGCCAGCCCGAAGTCGCAGATCTTCACCAGCTTCCCCTCGCAGATCAGCACGTTCCTTGCTGCCAGGTCACGGTGCACGCACTGCGGAGCAGGGGACGGCCGTCAGAGGGAGCCCAGGGAGCGGAGTGGATTTAGGAGCTAAGCGCTGACTCAGGGGGGTTGGAGTGTGGACCTGGTCGGATCTGAGCCAGGCTTGGCTGCAATCTGCAGGCAGAGACGGTCTGCCGCTCTTCCGTGAAAAGGCCTGTTGTCTCCCGAGTGGGCTCCACCGACAGAGGATAGGGAGTGAGCTCCTGTGGAAGCTGCGGTGGAGACGCGGGGGCTTTTGGCCTCCCCAGGACAAGCTGTGTTACCTCCCTTGCACACGCCGAGCAGCGCTGCATACGTACGTTTTTGGAAGCCAGGAACTCCATGCCATTGGCTACTTGGAAGCTGAACCCGATGAGGTCCGTGTAGCTGAGAATGGGGGACTCGTTGATCAAGGTTGCCTGGTCCGTCCTCTCAGGAGCTGGAAGGAACAGAGCAAGGGACAGAAACACAGCGAGCATTGTCAGCAGTCCTCCACGTTGACTCAACCGGGCAGAAAGGAAGTGGTGTTGGGGCTTGTCGGGTCTCCGCAGCTGGAGGGGAGAAGCCAAGGCACCTCGGTGTGCGAGATGGTCCAGCTCAGCCCTAACCATGTTACCTCCATGGATGTGACTTTTCGGTCACGCTCCAGCCACAGGGGCCAGCGACCCTGGTACAACCCATGCATCCTTCCCTGGCCCTGAGCAGCGCCTGCACGTACCTGATGGGGAGTAGCTGTCCAGCTCGTACGGCGTGCCGTAGTTGGAGGCCTCGATGTCGGCGTACTTGATCTCTCCCTTCATATCCGACATGGGCACGTAATCCAGGGAGTCGTCCTTGCTCATGTCCATGTAGCCTCCATCGCTCTCGACGGACACGGATGTCTGCCTGCAGAGCGGGGATGGGAACAGGGAAGCAAAGGAGCCCCTCAGTGCAGGCAGGCGGAGAGGAGGGTTGGCCTGGCCCTGCCATGCCGGGAAAGGACGCTGCGTTTATGGAGCTCTATTCCAGCGGTCGGCACTGGCAGCTGCCCACCTACGCTTGCTTGCATCTCAGTCGTGCGTGCACACATCTGTGCACAAAGCAGGCACTGGCACATGCCGGTGACCAGCTGCGTGCCTAAAACAGCGACAGCTGGGAGCAGATGCTGTGCTGACACACAGGCGCCTGGGATTTCTGGAAGAATTGCAGTGTCTGCAGTTGATCTGCACATGCCTAACATCTGACTGGATTTCCTTCTCCATCATCAGGGATGGTGGAAGCCCCTGGCAGGACTGGGGGGCTCATTGGGACAGTGTTTGGGAGCACTGAGAATGAATCACGCTCTCCACTCAGGGGGGCTGGCAGGAGTCCAATGCTCCCAAAGGGCTGGGGAAGCAGCCAGCATCTCACCTGCCTGCTGCAGTGTTGTATCTCTGGTTTGCCAATGCAGCTGTTTGTCCTGGAGGGTGCCCACATGAGAGTAGAAAGGCAGGGCACAGGGCAGGGGGGGATTGCATGGAGGTCTGGGTATAGCTTTGTCTGCTTACACCTGCAAATTGTGTGTGTGTGTGCATGAGCAAATACTAAGCAGATGCCTAATTAGGTATTTGCTTGTGTTGGCATGGTGCACACAGTGAGCGTTGTAGCCACAGGTACCAAAGACCAGGCACATCCTTTTGGAAACATGTGGCCCTATCAGTGACCCTGGTGGGCAGAAATCCCAGGCTGTGAGGATGCCACAGCTCGGAGACTCCCTCAAGGTCTGTACTTGAAGGCCGAGTCCAGACTGTTGCCCGTTGCTCCGTTTTAATAGTTGTCTCGTCTGCCTTGGAAGGGAAGCTGCAAGTGGTCTAGCCGCGTATGGAGATGTTGCCCCTTCCACTAGCACCTCTGTGCGCTGGGCGGAAAGCTGCTTTGCAACTCCCCGCTGCAATGCCTGTCTGCACATGTGCTCCCGTGCCTCTGGGGCAGCAGGACAGAAATAGGGGTGGCTTTGCTGCTTGAGGCTGGGAAAGAACTGGGATGCAGCAGGGCACTGGACCCTCGGGCCCTGAAAATGCACAGCTAGAACTAAACCAGGGCCCCGAAATGTTCTGGGAACACCTGGTTTCTTTGCTGGGCTTGGCCAGGGTAGATCTGGCCTGCAGATCTCCCCAAAGTCACCTGCCTTCAGCCTGGAGAACATAGTCCCTGGAGCGGCACAGCCCAGAGAGGACGTGGCTCCAGTGCTAGGGCCTGAGACGGCTGTAAGCCCGAAGGGTGTTGCCCAGCGGTCACCTCTGGATCTGGTCCTCACTGAAGGTGTTTCCGTAGAGCTCGGCCTCCCGCCTGCTCTTCTCGCTGTAGTACTGCAGGAAGGTGTGCTTGTTGTGGTGCAGGTAGTCCACCAGGTCTCCGTAGCGGCAGTACTCCGTGATGATGTAGATGGGGCCTGGGGGAGCAAAGACCATCGAGTCAGGGGGGGCCTGAAGGCACGAAAATCACTTGCGTTGGGTGGGAAACAGGCTGCTTAGCTCAGGGGAAGGTTGGCAGGACTGAAAAATGTTCTCCCCCGTCTTCCCCTGCCCTGAGCTGAAACACCAAAGATCCTGAGAAGGGGGTTGCATGGCCTAGGGAGGGTTTCCAGGTGAGGGAAGGGGGAGGCAGGAGCTACCTCCTTTGGTGCAGGCTCCAAGCAGGTTGACGATGTTCAGGTGAGGCCCCAGGTGGCTCATGATCTTCAGCTCCGACATCAGGGCCTGCTTCTCGCTGCTTCTGGCAGTAGCTGTGCAACAGAGGCACCCACAGGATGAAGTGTGAGGGGTGAGGGTGCGACTCCGAGATGGGCACAGCCCCCGTGGAGCCTGCGCGGCAGTGCGAGTCTGGGGCAGGGAGCCAGGGTCCTGCCGTGTCAACCTTGGCTCTGACTTGGGGCTCGGCTCCCTTATGGGGCTACTGCCACCGCAGCTTTGCTGCCAGAGTCCCCTAGTTTCAAGCAGCAGGCACCAGAAACCTCCTTTGTCAGCCCAGAAGGGCTTTTACCAGTGCTTCAGCAAAAGGATGTGCTATTTCCACCCCTGCTGATGCTGGCAAAATAGCATAAGGGAGATAAGCCACTGCCATGCAACCCGAGCACTGCCAGGAGTGACCAGGAATAATGGACTTGATGATCTGCTCAGGTCCCTCTGACCCGACCAACTATGAAACTATATGAAACCTAGCCCTTGAGAGGCAGGGCAAGGAAGACAGCAATGCACAGATGTCACGCTCCGGCCACACTAGCCGGGGGCCAGGGCACTAGATCAGCCATAACTGACCAGAGCTAGAGCTGGCATGGCTCAGACCCCACGGTGCCCAGGGCTGGGAGGAGGGAGACAGCGACTGAACCTGGCGGGAAACTCACACTTGAGCATCTTCACGGCCACCTTCATGGAGGACTGCGAGTGGCTCAGGCCGTGGGCTGTTGCCTCCACCACGCGGCCAAAGGCCCCGGACCCGAGCATGCGGCCTGAAGAAAAACACCAGCGAGAGGCTGTTGGCAACCCCAGGGGCCATCACGCGGGGGAAGGAGGGGCCCGCAAGGCAGCTGCCTGGAAAAGGCACGTCCCCTGCCGGACTGACCGGCCTAGCCACAGCCGTCCCTTGGGGAATGACGGCGGCCATGAGCTATGGTGTTTGTACAAGGGCCGATTTCCGCCCGTCTGGAGTGAGCGGGCTGCCAGCCATGGCATGAATAACAGGGAAAACCCAGCATCCCGGTCCAGGAGGGATGCCGGCCTCCCCGCTCTGGCCGCCAGGGGGCAGGCGGCATGGCCAGAGGCCTTGGGCTGTGCCCAGGGGTCTCCCCAGCTTTCTGGACCTAAGCCCCTTGCCCCAGCCCTGTGCCTCCCCCAGCCGGGGAGAACCAGGCCATCCCAAACTGAGCCCACAGCATGTCCTGGACGTCTACCTGGTGATGTTCAGACCCCCCGGCTCTCCCTGGAAAGCAGCAGAGCTGTTTTACTGCATGCACTAGGTGCATCCTCCTTCAGCCGTGCGTGATGCAGCCTGTGCAAAGCCACACAGCTATTTTCCTTGCAGGCTGGCTGAGGGTCTCTGCTCTGCCCTGCAACCCAGGGCCCCCTTTCTCCTGCTCTCCCAGCTGTGGCTGTCGACATGCCCGGATGAGCAGCCGGAGGAGGATGTACAGACCCCAGGCAGGTGTATGTTGCCCCCTCCAGTCCAGCAGGCCCTGGCTGCGGGCATCTGCCCGCTTCAGAGTGGTTGGAGGACGACTTCACCCTGCTCTTTCATAGCCCCCATGCTTGGTCCATCTACGGGGGGTTCCCTGCCTCCCCTTACCCAGAACCAGCTTGTCCCTGGGGACCTCCCAGCTGGAGTCATAGGGGAGTTGCAAGGGGTCCACGTAGATGTACTCGTGTCCGTCGGAGCTCACCGACTCGATCACCTTCCACCGGATTTCGTAGCGAGGTTTCTAGAGCGGGGCAAAGGTGGGGACAGAGTTCAGGGTGAGGGGGGCAGCCTGGAGCGGTGTCGGAGGGACGAGCAGGGAGATGAGCTGGGATATGTTGCCCTTAGGCAATGACCTGCATCCTCTGGGTGCCCCATGGCTGGGGACACCCCCCACCACCCTGTCTGCCCTGTTTCTGCGCCCTCGAGAAGCCCAGCTTCTGGGCATCCCAGCCAGGGAGCACAGCGTGGGCAGCCCAGCTCCCTGGCCCGATGGGAGGGACCGGCCTCTGCCCCAGGCTCTGCGGGGGGAGGTCTCCCAGCTCGTACCTTCCTCCACAGGATGATGAGGATGATCAGGGAGGTGATGCTGAGTGCCAGCAGAGCCAGGATGACCGTGGAGATGATGATCACCTTGAAGGACAAGGCTGCAATGCCGCCCCATGGACAGCCGTCAGCTCCCTCCAGCCAGGCACACCCCCAATGCACCCCTCTCCTCACCCCATTACAGCTTCCCTGCCGCACACCCCACAGGCCTGATGTCAGCTGGCCCACCTGGGGCTTCTGGTCTGTCCCTTGGCAGCCGTCATGGTGCCAGGCCTCTCGGGAGAGGGACCGTGTTTCCTGGCTGGTCTTTCTCCTGGACCCACTCCCACGGGAAGAGCTAAGAGACACGGCCCGCGCTCGGATGGCTCAGCCCAGGGGCGTCCATCCCCAAGGCTCTGCTCCCCCCCCTGCCACCGGCACAGACCCCACCACGGGTCCCAGGGCACGTGTCTGCTTCCCTGCCCCAGGGGATGGGGGCACAAACACCTCAGGCTGGGAGGGAATTACAAGGACTGACGGCCCCTTGGTCACGGGAGAGCTCTGCGGGGGCTTTGGGAGGAGGACTGACCTCAGGGAAAGGCAGTGGTCACCCTTTGGTCTGAGCTGGCTCTGTTTGGATCCAAGCCCTCCGTCTGGGACCTCAAGCGAGGCCCAGCACCTGGACCTATAGGGACGTGGCACCCTCTAGTGCCCGAGTGCAAACAGCCGGGGGACAATGTGGGTCCCGGTGCAAAGTCTGTGGTCAGAGGCATGCGTGCAACTGCACCCCCTTCCAGTTCAGCCAGGACCTCGGGGGCCCAGCTCCATGCATTGACGGGGACTGTGCAAAGGGCCAGGTGCTCTGCACCCATCAGACAAAGGCAGGAGCTCTGTTGGGGGAGGCAAGGACAGGGCTGGTTAATCCCATGTGCATATAGCGGGAGTGAGGCAATCCCTGGTGGTCACCCATGGGTGGCCCAAGGGCTGCGCAGCAGCAGAGGCTTCTCCCACCTCAGTGCAAGGAGGTCGTCCCCTAGGGCGGAGACATCTAGGCCTCGGCAGGCTCCCCCTGCCCACCTGGCTGTGCCCTGGACTGCGGCATGGACGTGGCCCAGGCTGGGTGGGGATGGCATGGCAGGACTCACCGTGCGGCACCAGCTTGATGTCGCGGTGGCTGGTGCCCAGCAGGTTCTGCACGGCGCAGCGGAGCAGCAGGGGCTCGTCCACCCGGCGCAGCTGCAGCGTGCTGTGGACGTGGTACACCCGCAGCGCCTCGTGGTATGTGGCGTTGGTCTGCAGCTGCATCTCCTCCGTGGCATTGCCCAGCTGCTGAATGGGCTGGAGGCTGCATTGGCTGGTGGGGGAGATGCAGCAGATGGGAGACCATCTCCTCTACCCGCCATGACAAGAAATGCTCCTGCCGCCCTGTCAACAGAGCAGCCAGCCTGGCCCCATTCATTTATCCCCTTGATCCAGCACAGGTTGCGGGGGTGGGGGGGTCCCATGAAGTCCCACTGGCTCGGGTCATGTCTGTTTGCCTTCTACTTTCCAGCCCGATCCCTTGCAGCCAGAAACCGATGGCTGGGCTGGGATGAATGATGCCATTGTAGCACGGGGAAGAGATCTCTCAAAAGGCCTGTGTCTGGTGCGTGGCCAGCAGCGGGGAGTGCACCCATTGCGTTTGGTCTGACCTACAGCAGTGGTTTTCAGCCTGTGGTCTGTGGACCCCTGGGGGTCATAGTTTCATAGTTTCTAGGGTCGGAAGGGACCTGAGCAGATCGTCTAGTCCGACCCCCTGCCATGGCAGGAAAGAGTACTGGGGTCAAACGACCCCAGCAAGGTGTTCATCTAACCTCTTCTTAAAAACCCCCAGGGTAGGAACCTGCACCACTTCTCTTGGAAGTTGGTCCCAGACCCTAGCCGCCCTGACCGTGAAGTCGCGCCTTCTGATGTCTAACCTAAACCTACCCTCTGCCAGCTTGTGACTGTTATTCCTGGTCACTCCTGGCGGTGCTCGGGGGAACAGTGACTCCCCCAATGCCTGCTG